AGATTCAGCCTTTCCCAGGTGAGGCAAAGAAATGCAAACTAAGGCTCATTAATATCCAGCTTCTATCCCACGCTCTGGAAATCCTCTTATGCAGAACACCAGGGCTACATTCCAAGTAACTGAGACTACTAGCCACCAGGAAAAAGCTAGAGGATAACTGATCCTTTCCTGGGCATGAAAATCTACCCAGGAAAGTAAGACTTGACAGTGGTGTTTAACATGGGCCCACCCAGGCTCATCAAAACCCAGTAGGGGAGCCACAAACAGCAGAACACCAAAACCCACAGGGAAAATTTGGCAGGCTCCAAAACCCACTGAGAGAGCCAAAATGGTGAAACAAAGAAACAAATCCCAAATAAAAGAACAAGAGGACTCTATCGAAGATGACATAAATGAAATATGCTAAATAAATTATCCGAGATAGAATTCAGAGCCATGATCTTGAGGAAGCTCAACAGCATAAGTAAGGACATCAGCACCAAGAGTAAAGATATAAAAACACTGAAAACCAACCAAGTGAAAATAAAGAATGAAATAGCAGAAATTAAGAACACATTGGAAGGACTAACCAGCAGAGTGGAGGAAGCTGAGGACCGGATCAGTGAATTAGAAGACAGGGTAGAAAAAAATCAACCAATCAGAAAACCAAAAGGAAAAAACAGGAAGAAAGTGTAAGAGAACTGTGGGCCAACTGGAAACGTAATAACATTCATATCATAGGAGTCCCCGAAGAGGAAGAAAATGGGCAAGGATTAGAGAATATATTTGAAGAAATAGTAACAGACAACTTTCCTAATTTGGTGAAGGAAGAAGGCATTCAAGTTCAAGAAGCACAGAGAGCCCCAAGTAAGAAGAACCCAAATAGGCCCACACCAAGAACAAAGTTGCAGGGATCACATTACCAGATTTCAGGTTATACTACAAAGCTACTGTAATCAAAACAGCCTGGTACTGGCACAAGAACAGGCATATAGACCAGTGGAACAGAACAGAGAACCCAGAAATGGACCCAAAACATTATGCTCAATTAATATTTGACAAAGGTGGCAAGAGCATACAGTGGAGTAAGGACAGCCTCTTTAATAAATGGTGTTGGGAAAATTGGACAGCTATATGCAAAAAAATGAAACTAGACCATCAACTTATACCATAAACAAGAATAAACTCAAAATGGATAAAAGACTTAAATGTGACCCATGAATCCATACAAATCCTAGAAGAAAACATAGGCAACAAAATTTCAGACATCATACGCAGCAGAATTTTTACTGATACATCACCTAAGGCAACAGACAAACAAAGGAAAAAATGAACACATGAAACTACATCAAACTCAAAAGCTTCTGCACAGCAAAAGATACAATCATCAAAATGAAAAGGCAACCCACTGTATGGGAGAGCATCATTGCCAATGATACATCAGATAAAGAGTTAATTTCTAAAATATATATTCATACAACTCAACAAAAGGAAGACAAAGAACCCAATTAAAAAATGGGCAGAGGAGCTAAATAGACACCTCTTCAAATAGGACATACAAATGGCCAAAAGACATATGAAGAAATGCTCAACATCAATAATCATCAGAGAGATGCAAATTAAAACAACAATGAGGTATCACCTCACACCTGTCAGAATGGCCACCATCAACAAATCATCAAACAACAAGTGTTGGCGAGGGTGTGGAGAAAAGGGGACTCTAGTACACTGCTGGTGGGAATGTAGACTGGTACAGCCACTATGGAAAACAATACGGTGTTACCTCAAAACATTAAAAGTTGAACTTCCATTTGACCTAGTGATCCCACTTCTAGGAATATACCCTAAGAAGCCTGAAACACCAATCAGAAAGAACATATGTACCCCCATGTTCGTAGCAGCACTATTTACAATAGCTAAGATCTGGAAACAGCCCAAATGTCCATCAGTAGACAAATGGGTAAAAAATCTGTGGTACCTATACACAATGGAGTACTATGCAGCTGTAAGAAAGAAAGATCTCTTATCCTTTGAGATGACATGAAGGGACCTGGGAAGTATTATCCTAAGAGAAACAAGCCAAACAGAAAGACTAGTATCATATGATCTCACTTATTTGTGGAATATAATGAACATAACAGTCTGAGGAATGGGGTAGTCCCAGAGACGTGGAAGTGGGGTACAGACTGACAATCCCCAGAAGAGGAGGTGGTGGAGGAGAGATAAACCACAGAACTTATATGCATGTGTGCATGAACAATGGACATGGGCAGCAAAGCTAGGGACAGGGAGGGGAGAGAGTGGGAGCGAATCAGTAGGGGATAAAGGAGAAACATCTGTAACAAAAATACATAAATTAATTTTAAAAAAGAAAAGAAATAAAAATGTGTCAATGCTACTTTATTCTTTATACAATTGAATATTTTAGTGAATATAGAGCAAGAGAATTATCTTTAAATATCGTTCACAGGAAGAATTTTTATATTTGTCCAAAATAATTGCTGAGTTGCCTGATCTGATCCAGCTTCCCTTTGCCACTAAACTCTGAAAAAGAAAAGAAAACATACAAGTCAGATGAAATCATTTACACAGTCGAGAGGAGGCCCATGGGCATGTTATTATATAACATATTTTTAAATTACACAATTTGACATGTCATAAATGCCCATGATCGATACTTATAAGATTTGTTTCTGCTGTATTCAATAAGCCATGAGGCTGTGTGAGTGCCGTAGCCTTAGGGAACACCTTCCCCTGTGCCCCTGGGCAGCTGTTCTCCAGCATCCAGACAGCTTTCTCGGGCCCCTTGGCTTGCTGGGCGCTGACCACTGTCAGCAGGTCGGGGTCGGGCTCCAGGAGAGAGGTTGCAATGCCTTGGCCAGACAGTGACCTCATGTCCCTGGGATCACGTCTTCATGAGAGGCAGGAGGCGCAGGGCTGCCCTTGCAGGGATGTCTGCTTCCACGGGCCCAAGGCCAGGAATTGCCCCAGATTGAAACTCAGGTCTCGGAGCATCATTGAGGGGAAGGAAAGGCCTTGTCTGGCTGTGCTCTGAAATGTTCTCACTGTAGGGAGCTACCCCTCCACACCCCACAAGCATCCAGAGTAGTTTTTTTCTCATTCGAAGGGCCAGGTGAGAATTCACAGAGAATCCGTTGGGCCAAGAGGGCATTTCAGCCCCTCACAGTGATGGCTGGAGACAGCTGGGGCACAGAGCCAGTGTGAGGTGGGGCTGGGTGTCCAGGGCAGGCTGGGTGGGCTGCGGAGCTGAGAGCAGAGGGCGTGGGCAGAGGGCCTCAGGTGTTCCATGTGGCTCCCCTCTCTTTCAATATTCCCCTCTGGCTGCCTCTCACTCTCCCCGTCAGACTCGTGACATGTTCTTGGAGAAAGAAAGCTGCAATGAGCTGACCTTGGACTCTCCTACTGGGTGTTATCTTCAGTGTTTCTTCCATTCCTTGGCTGGAAAACAAAAGGAGCAACTTTGAGACACAACAGTCTGGAACCTGTTTCTTGCTTTCAGATTCTTTCTTCTGAAACCTAAGACCCTGTTCTCCCAACTAAGATGCCAGTAGCCTCCTCCGGGGCTCCCTGGGTGAGCCTCAGCCCCATTCTAGTCTGTAGGTTCTCTGTGACAGAGCTCCGGGACCCTAGCTGCTCAGACACTGTCCCCACATCCCCCCCTCCCCCCGCCCCAGCCTCTGGTTATAGGGCAGGACAGTCCTCAAACTATTTGTCACAGGACTTCTCACCCTAAAGATATCATGGAGACCTATTGTTTCACAAAGAACTTTCCAGAGAACAACTACTAATAGGTCACGCAGATTATAAAGGTGTACATGGGGTGGCATGAGGGGGTGGGAAGCGTTTCCATGGACAAAACAGTTTGGGAAACAATGTATGGTTAAATTACATTAAACAGGTGTTTTCTGCCGGACACACTGGTGTGTACTGTGAGCCCTCGCGAATGTTGGTTGCAGTGTTTTCCAGTCTTATTTGATCTTTGCAGAGCAGCTCTTAGCACCGACGGCCCACAGAATGCAGTTTGAGGGCACAAGTCTGGCTGATTTGCACATTTTTCTGATGCAAACATTGTGTGTCTAGGAGTTGCAGCATAGCTAGTGATTGGCAGGTCAAAAACTAAAAGATAACTCTCTGACTCCAAGACCTTTGCAAGAGGCTCCAAGTCCCCTGGGAAGGAGGAGAAGATGCTGCCTAGACTCCTCTTGCCAGTGTGTTTGGGAGCCAGGTATCCAGACCTTCATGTTTAGCAGCATAGACTCAGACTCTGGTTGGCCCTCGTGTCTGTCCATCACTAGAACTCCCACTTTCCACCCCATGCTCCCCGAGCACTGGTGCTCTCAGCCTGTGTCCCCGTGGACCCTGTCCGTTACAAGCATGACTCTGTAGGAGAAAACTTTGAGAGTCACCCCCTAAGTAAAGGGTTAGAGAGTCCCCACAATTATTCACCAGTTTGTCATGGGACCCTGGCTGTGCTCATTCAGCAGGGACTCCAAACTGGGGTGGCAGGAGGGAACCAGGGTTAAAAACAGAGAAAAGAAAACATGTTATACCCTGAAAAGAAAAAATGGTCTTCCCCAGGTAGCAGCGTGGTCCTGCAACATAAAAACACAAACCATTATGCAAGCCTGTGCGCCCAAGGTGTCTCAAAGATGTCTATGACAGTGGTTTTCAAAGTGTGGTCCCCAGTCCCAAAGCATCAACACCACCTAGGAACTTGTTAGAAATGCCCCTACTGAATCTCAAATTTTAACAAGGTCCCCAGATATTTATGACAACCTGGAGAAGCACATGTATATGGGCCTGGGCCACTGCAGTGCCTCTCCAAGTTGGTACAGCTAGCATGTGTGCCCCAGAGCCACAGAAAGCAAGCTCCAGGGACAGACAGCCCAAGTGACTCATCTTTGAGACTGGAGATGAGCTATTCACAGCCAGAGGATTGTCCCGTGACTCTTTTGGGGCCCAGATCAAGCCTAGGGAATCCCAAAATTAAATGCTCAGCCTCAAAGAAGATTTCCAGGGGCATATTGGGAGACCAGTTCTTTCCAGAAGTCATCTAAAGAGGCTGCTCGGTGACGCAGCTCCAAGTACTTCCCTGTCCTCTCACAGGTCGTTTTTGGGGGCTTGTGTTCTCCACAGAGCTTACATACCTTCTTTATAAAGTCAAGTGCCACAGCCCCCGCATCCTGTGAGGGAAAAGACTCAGGTTAATGGAGCAGGAACCACATCCTCGAGGTGGCTGCTGTCCTGCTGTGATCCTGCACCTCCCTGATCCACTCGAAGTCAGAAGGCAGGTGCAAAAAACAGTCCCAGGGAACAGCTATGTAGCCAATTTCAATTTCCTGTTGGGGAAAGCAAGCTGCTTTCTTGATTGAGCTACTGCTTGTGTCCAGGACAATGTTATATTTGGTAGCTCTGCTAACAGCCTCAACTTGACCCCTGGATGAGGCACATGTTCTAGATAAGCCATTTTAGCTTCTTCAGCTGGTCTCTGCCCGGGAATCTGGCGTGAGGATGGAGGCCCCCCAGCCTGGAAGCTGCGTGGGCAGCAGACCAGGGAATCTGCCCCTGTGCTTAGGGTGACCCACAGGTTTCTCAGGAACTGAGCAGTTTCCGAGGGTCTGGGGATTTTCAGAGGTAAAACCAGGGAAGTCCTGGGCATACTGGGATCACCCTACTTGGGCTCACAGTGTCCAAAAGAAGTTTCCTTTTTCTTCTTTTCGCTACCATGCAACAAAACCTGGATTAAGATTTTGAGGTTCAGCTATTACTGAAATTGGCAATTTCTAAACTTAAATTATTTTTTTCTTAAAACAACAACAAAAAATAAAGCTCTGAGGTTTGGGCAGAAGGACAGGTAGGGCAATGGGGACAGGTAGGGAAGCAGAGGATGTCACCACAGCAAAAGTTTGATCGAGGGGAAGAGGAAGGCACAGAGTACATGGGCAGACAACACAAAAGCAAAAACGAGAAAACGTGGATGAAGAGCCCCGCAGAGGAGAGGACGGAACCACGCGGGCCGGCGGAGGGTTCCAGCGGAGGAGCTGAGGTTAGGGGCAGCTTAAGGAGCCTGTGCAAGGTCAAAGGGCCAGAGCGGCCCCCCGGGGGGAGATTTGATGCAAGGAGAGAATGCAAATGAGATAACGCATTTACCCCGGTGAAAGGTACTTTTACTGGCATAGAACAGACGGAAGAAGAAAGCACGTACGCGCTGTGGAAGTCTTCTCATCCGTCCCCTGGCGAGCCTGGCGGCCAGCCGCAGGAAAGGGTGCGCAGCAGGCAACTGCAACAGAGGGGCGCGTGAGGGGCCGAGGCTGCGGGGCCGCGGCCCAGGGTTATGCGCGTGTTTTCCACTCACTCTCTTACAAATGGGTTTAATTTTCACAGTAACATCATTCCTGAGCCTAAGCTTCGAAGTTTTATGTTTTCAATAAAGAATCGCCCGCCTTGATAGCAGATTTCAATTCCACACATCACTTAAAAATATTCCCTTAAGATAAATCATAATTTTATCTGCATTGACCCCAAGTTCCCGGTGCTTCTGGTGTGGAGTGTTTTGTCCCAAAGAAGCATCGCCACGCAGATCCTTTCTGGCTCCCCAGGTGTGTTCTTCTGATCTAAGGGACCTGCTGGGAGGGTAGCAGCCTAAGCCTTGCTCCCTGGACGGCCTGTCTGTGACTGCCACGCACACTGACACACACACCTGTGTCTTATCTAGTCTTTGGGAAGCCTCTTGAGTAGTCTGGCCCAGAGTAAAAGTTACTTTGTGTCACAGACGGTTTTACCTTTGCCCTTCCATGGTCCTCCCTCTGCAGTGCCCATGGCCTTTCTTGAGAACATCCCAGCCACTCCTGGGTTCCCATTCCCAAACCTGTGCTACTCATGCCACTTTGACTCTTGGGGGAAAAGTACTTGGCTGGGTATTTGTTTTTTAAAGGGTCTTCTTGAAGTCTTGAAAAGCCTTGATTATATAAATAAGTGACTTTCTAATGGCAAAATTTCAGTTGCTGTGATAGGACACCTGAATTAGTTTTATTCTGTGATCTTCCTTATAATTCTCAAGTCTTACCCTGCAGAAATTCACTTACACAACCTGCACCCGAGGGTAACTCAAGTTTATACTAAGAAAGTTAGAGGCGATGCTTAGTTTTCAAAGAGCACACACACCTTGTGACGGTTACAGAAAATGAGCATCTGTGGGTCACTGTTGGGGGTGGTTTATACCTCACAAAACACTCTGCAAAATTTTAAGAACAGAGGGTAAAACTCCGCCTTTGCCAGAGTCTTTTTGTACAACTGTTTACGTGCACGATAAGTTATTTCTTACTTATTTTTCCTTTCCTATAATTTATCGTCTACCTTTTTAGGCCTGTCAGCCTCCTCCCACCTCCACCCCAGAGAGAGAGAGAATTCCTGCAGCCGCAGGAAAAGGCACCTGGGAAGCTGCTACACGAGAGGGTAGCCCCCTGCTCCTCCACTGATCTGCACATATTCATTAGGAAGGGATAAAGGCATGCAGAGGAGAGGGACTTTCACAGAAAGATGATTATGATGCAATACTGACCCCAGTTTTAACTGCATGTGTTGGCTTCGGAGTCCTGGAGTAGTGAAATAAAAACTGAATAAGAAAAAAGAAAGTTCATTTCAATATTGCATCACTGGCTATAAAGTGGAAGTTGCATGCCCTTGCTCCTGGGCTGGGCAGTACTCACCTGTTTGTACATGTCTTGATAAACCTGGAGAGAGAATTCTGAGGGTAAGTACATGGAATTTTCCTGTAGCAGGTAACTGACAACATTTTCAGTATAAGTTATGCTATGAACATATATAGGATTTACCTTAACATTATTACATAAATTGCCAAGCTAAAAATCAATTCATTACACAGACTTAATAAGATGATTGTTGATGCAGGATCTTATAAAAAAAAGTTGCCAGTAATAAATCATTATTTTAAAACTTAATCTTATTTTACCTTTTCAGGCTTTGGGGGAAAGCATACTCTATGATATATAGAAGCGGTACCCTAAATCTATTCCCAGATGACCATCGGACTAAGAGTTGGAATACCATAATTATTGCAGATTTTCATTTGCTTCTGGGTATACCCTAGAATTCAGCTTTTGTAATGGCTGGTTGCAACTGACCAAACTTTTTTCCTAAAAGCTTTCAACATGAATCTTCACTGTTCGTGCACAAAGCACAGTTTTTCACTCCCGAGTCCTGGGTCGAGCACCGCCTTGCTCTTGTCTGCATAGAGACAGCCTGGGAAAAGCTGTAGAGGCAGCACATGCTACTCAAGGACGCTGTGAAGAAGGGGTCTCACAAAACGACAGCACAGGAGTCCACGCCTGTATTTCATAAAATCGCTAAAGGTGATTACTGTGAATGCTCTTTTAAATATGCTGATCTGGCTACTATTGATCATTCAGATACCATTCACATTTAAAATCGAATCAGCTCAAACTCCAATTAAGACAAAAATGAAAGTTCTTAATAACACTTCTAACTTTGTTGCTCTGAATATGATTACATCTTCCTATAAACTTTGGGGAGAGTTTCTGCAGTAGCTGGCATCTATGTTTTCTCTCTTTATTATGTATGCACATGTACACACGTGCATATGGGCACAGACACACATTACAGGGGGTGGGAAAAAGAAGGTTTACAGTTATTCCTATGGAAAATAATACAATAATTAATAGAAATACAATAATAAACTGTTTTGCATACTCACAACTGCAAACCTACTTTTGCCCACCCCGTATAATGACCCAACATTACTAATAGTAGAGGTTCTGTGGAGACTCACTCTCTTTCCTTATGGTTATCACTTCTAAAATTTACTGTTAATATTTTTACAGCTTTTGGTCACCTTGTCAGCATCTGTCCCTGTGTGTGTGTGTGTGTGTGTTCTGAAACTTACTGGATGAACAATTGTGCGTGTGTTTTTTTGTACAATGTTTAAATTTTATACCAGTACTTTTCAGACCAAAAAATAAGAAGGAATATAAAGATGTTTTTTTCGGTCGCTAAACACCATTCTCAAGATTTTATATGCACCTTCTTTCTTTAATTTTCTTTTTAGAAAATTATATATATATATATATATACACATATATATATACACACACATATATATATACACACACATATATATATTTGTTGTTGTTGCTGTTGCTTTTTATCCTCACCTGAGGACATTTTTTGTTCAGATAGAGTGGGAGGGAGAGAGAAGGAGAGAGAGAGAGAAACATCGACATGAATGAGACACATCTAGTGGCTGCCACCCACACGACCCAACCAGGGCCGGGGACAAACTGCAATCAGGGTACATTCCCTTAATGGGAACTGAACCCAGGTCTCTCCGGACCACAGGCCGATGCTCTAACCACTGAGCCAAACCAGCCAGGGCTGATGTTGTTAATCTTCACCCAAGGATAATCTTTCATTAATTTTTAGATAGAGTCGAAGAGAGGGAGGGAGAGAGAGAGAGAGAAACATCGATGTGAGAGAGACACATTGATTGGTTGCCTTCCACACGATTTCAGCTGTGGCTGGGGATCAAAACTGCAACCCAGGTAAGTGCCCTTGACCAGGATCAAACCCATGACCCTCCCATCTTCAGGCCAACGCTTTAACTGCTGAACCAAACTGGCCAAGGCAAGAAAAAAGTTTTTTTTAGTGTACTTATCTATTTTGTTTATTTTTTATTTCCCTACTAGAATATAAATTCCATGAGAACAGGTACTTTTGTCTGTTTTGATCACTATTGTATATCCCCAGCCCCTGACACATAGCATGCTTTCAATAAATATTTTTTTGAATGGATGAAGAGTAGGGCTGTGTTCACAAGAATCTACTGCTCCCTCTCCCATATAAAATGCTTCTGATCTCACATAGTGACCAGAAGCATGAAACACAAAGAGAGTTTCGGTCTGTAGACAGTAATGCTTTCTGAGTGGCCTCATAATGAAAGTTCCCTGGGGACTTCCGGTCAAGACGGGGGGTAGGTAAATGCGGTATCGCGTCCTCCCACAACCACATCAAAGTTACAACTAAACTACAGAACAATCATCATTCAAAACCGCCTGAAATCAAACTGAATGGAAGTCATACAACTACGGAATTAAAAAAAAAAAGCAACTACATCCAGACTGGTAGGACGGGCGGCGCGAGGGGTGGCGGCAGGGGTGGCAGGGGTGGAGGCGGCTGCGGCGGCGGCGCGACAGGCTGGTCCCACACCCACGTGTGGTGGATAAAAATCAGGAGGCTCCTGCGGCTGGGAAGGTCCTTCCTGAGGACTGAGGGGTCTCTGTCCCACACCAGGTGCCCCGCTCAGGGTCCAGTGCCAGGAAGAGAATCCCCATAACTTCTGGCTGGAAAAACCAGCGGAAACTGAGGCTCAGGGAAGCTGAAGCGGCTGGAGCCCCAGGCAGCTCCTTAAAGGGCCCGCGCACGGACTTATCGGACTCTCTCCCTCTAAGCTCGGAGGGGAGGCAGCTCGAGGGGCACCAGAGACATACAGGGAAGAACTGAGCTGTTTGGCACTGGAGTGAGGGCTGGAGAGAGGGCTTCCTCGAGGACAAACGTGCTGTAAGAGGCCTTTGTTCCTTTGGTGAGCCCTTCCCTGGGGCGGCAGACAGCAGTCATATCTGGGACTCCAGCCACCTGGCTCACACTGGTAGCCCCGCCCTGGTGGCTCCCTGAGGCCCCGCCCCACCCCACACAACTTTCAAGCCCACCCAAGCTGTTGCCACTTGCTTAACCATAGGATTGGCCAGTCTTGGATCCTGCTTCAGGTTTTTCCTAAATTCTTTCAAACGAGCAGCATCGGGTCTCAGCGAGCCCCATACCTCTCATTAAGTAATACACTGAAACTAACACTGGGAGACAGCCAAAATGAGGAGACAAAGAAACAGGTCCCAAATGAAAGAACAGAACAAAACCCCAAGAAAAGAACTAAGCGAAAGGAAGATAAGCAACCTAACAGATACTGAGTTCAAAATACTGCTTATAAGGATGCTCAATGAACTTAGTGAGAACCTCAGTGAACTTAGGGAGGGCCTCAAGAGCATAAAAAAGGACCAGTTAGAAATCATGGATACACAGTTAGAATTGAAGGAGGCATTAACTGAAATAAAGAATAATTTACACAGCTTCAATAATAGAGTATGTAAATCCAAGGAGCAAACCATCGATTTGGAATATAAGGAAGCAAATAATCCCCAATCAGAACAGCAAAAAGAAAAAAGAATCCAAAAAAATGAGGATAGTGTAAGGAGCCTCTGGGACAACTTCAAGCGTGCCAACATTTGCATATTGGGGGTGCCGGAAGGAGAAGAGAGAGAACAAGAAATCGAAAACCTGTTTGAAACAATAATGGCAGAAAACTTTCCTAACTTGGTGAAGGAAACAGACATACAAGTCCAGGAAGCACAAGATGAACAAACAAGATGAACCCCAAGAAGCCCACACCAAGACACATCATCATCAAAATGCAAAAGTTTCAAGACAAAGAGAGAATCTTAAAAGCAGCAAGAGAAAGGCAGCTAGTTACCTACAAGAGAGTTCCCATTAGGCTGTCAGCTGATTTCTCAAAAGAAACTTTGCAGGCCAGAAGGGAGTGGCAAGAAATATTCAAAGTGATGAAAACCAAGAACCTACAACCAAAATTACTCTATCCTGCAAAGCTGTCATTTAGAATCGATGGACATATAAAAACTTTCCCAGACAAGAAAAAGTTAAAGGAGTTCATCACTACCAAACCGTTATTATATGAAATGATGAAGGGTCTTTTTGAAGAAAAAGATAAAATGTATGAACAAACAAAATGGCAATGAATACATATCTATCAACAATGGAATCTACAAACAAAATGAACAGGAAGAACAGAAACATTCTCATAGATACAGAGAACATTTTGTTGGTTGCCAGTTGGGAAGGGGTTGGGGGAATGGGTGAAAAAGGTGAAGGGATTAAGAAGCACAAATTCATTGCTAGACTGACAAACCTCAAAGGGAAAGGGGTTGGGGGGGTGGGAAGAAATAAACCAAAGAACTTATATGCATAACCAGTGGACACAGACAATAGTGTGGGAAAAGGTGGGAGGGGGGCGGGAGTGGGGAGGAGGGGGTCAATGGGGGAAAAATGTGGAACATCTGTAATACATTTTACATCCAACAATAAAGATTTAAAAAAAAAAAGCGAAGCACACACACAAAAAAAAGAAAGTTCCCTGGGGACACAGACCTGGACTCTTCTGGAGACCAGAACTGAAGGTGGACTTACAGCCCACACGAGTCATTCAGACATTGGCTAGTAGAGGAAACCAAAGCCCCAGGAGAGGAAGTGACATGCCGAAAGTTGCACTTCAAGGCAGAGGAGCCGTACTGGTAGTTTTATTCACTGAGCGATGCCTTGCTCTCTTGCAGTTGGATTCAACAAACAGGATCAGCTATGGGGAAATGCAGAAGATGGGAGGGAATTCATTCCAAGTGGACCTTTGCACACAACCCAGTTTAATACTAAAGGTAGCACATGTGACAGCCACACTTCCACTTCCTGTGCTCACGCATGGGGCCCCCTCACCGTTTTGGTATTAGGAATAAGGAACCCCCCTCGGTGTGAGGCGAGAAGGCAGTGGAAGGAGGTGGAGTTCTCACCCTGAATTTTTGCTCTGGGTGCCGAGGCCGTAATGATTAGTTCTAAAGATAGAGGTGACAGTTGTCTTCAAACATATGCATAATGGTAAACTGAAAATAATAAGAAATGGGCATGGTAACTTAGGAAGTTCAAGAGAGAAAATGAAGCTTGAATCTTGAAGAATGGAAATTCATTTAATCAAGAAACAATGGTAACAGCTAGTCCTTAAGTGCTATAACTTTCCATCTTGTAGACACTGTTGAAAATACTTCACAAATATTAAAACAATTTATCCTCACAATAAAATTGTAAGGTTACTACAGCTATTACTCCCATGTTACAGATGGCAAAACTGAGACACAGTGTGATTAAGAAACGTACTAAGGTTAAGGAGATGTGGGTTTTGAGCCCCAGTACTTTGGCTTCAGAGTCTTGTCTGTTAAACACAGCAGCAAAGGAGGCAGAGGCATTTCCGGCTAAGGGAAAGCCTGTGTGAAGACACAGGGGCCTGGTACATGTGAAGAATAAGAAGTTCATTTGTCTGGAGCATGGTGTACTGTGAGTTAGGAAAGGCAGGAGGAGATGTAGTTCAAAGTGAAACATATAGTCTATGCTAAAAATCTCGGTCTACCTTGATACCACCATCTGGTACTTTAGAATAAATCAACATTTACTTTGTATCCACTGAAATATTTCTGTTGTGGTTACTATAGTTACTATTAGGTCCTTTACATAAAATCTATTGTTTTGGAGAACTGCCAAATCATAGTATATCAATTTGTAAAATATATTATGCTATATCATAATATAGCCAATTAATGTAATTAGATATGTAAATGTGATTATGATAATTGTAAGAATGTTGATGAACCACAAGTATCTTACAGTAATTTATATTTAAGAGATTTGCTTGTTACTTCCTAAAACTATATTCTTTTTTCTCCTCTAAACTTTTTTTTTTCCCCAGATAGAGCAGAAGGAAAAGAGGGAGAAAGAGAGAGAGAGAGAAACATCGATGTAAAAGAGACACATCGACTGGTTGCCACCCACACGGCCCCAACAGGGACCGGGGACAAGCTGCAACCCAGATACATGTTCTTCACGGGAACGGAACCTGGGTCTCTCTGGTCCACGGCCGATGCTCTAACCGCTGAGCCAAACCGGCCAGGGCTCTCCTCTAAACTTTTTAATATGGAAAATTTAAACGTGAAGAGGAGATGAAATAAAATATCTCACTTTGATTAAACAATTATTAATATATTGCTACATTTGCTTTTGTTCTATCTGTCCCTCCATCTACCTAGATACATTTTTTCCTGAAACTTTTGAATGTAAGTTGCAGACATCCTGAAACTTTTTCTCTAAATCGCATACCCCTAAACACAAAACAATAACCACATATATCATCTAATACCCATCCTATAATTAAATATCCATAATTGTCCCCCAAACTTATTTTATTGCGACTAAAACTATATTCTCACACAAACACACATACACACAAAATTCTCCTGTAGATAGTAAAATAGTGTGCTCATTACAGATTTCAAGTAGGACATAAACATGTGTACTGTTATAACTAAAAGAATTATCATATGTATATTCATTTTTTTACCTTAGGTTGCCGAGAAACAGTTGCCCAATATGCCAGTTGCTAAAAAAAATGAAGAAAATAAATCAAAATTAAGTAAAAGTCCCTTAGTCAATAGCATTCTATTACAACACATATTCTAACATTGTCCCATTTATGAACCTTGTATTAGCTTCTCACACGGTGGCAATGAATTTCAACACAACTCTCAGGATACCTGAAATGAGGCCATGGAAATGACAACAGAGTCCTGCTGCAGCCAAGGATCTGCTCTTAAAATAGTTTTAAGTGAACATTATCCACATGATATTTTCAAGGCCAAGACTAAATAAAAACCTCATATTACTGAACAACAGTGTACCTCAAGCTGCACAGCATCCAAGCCATCTGGAGAACCATCTGAATGTGGAGGGTATCCTATTATGAGAAATCATAAAAATATCAATTAGAAGAGGTCATAGCATTAACTTTTAAATCTTCACCATGAAAAGTGTACAGAGATTCTATAAATAGTGTTGTTAAAAAGGATTGACAAAGAAAACACACTCTACATACCACTAGAAAATCTGCAATTTGTACCAAAATTAATTAAAAATAGAATTTTAAAAAAATTTACCAGGAGTTAACAGTATAAGAATTAGTAAGTCAGGAAAAGGGGCAAAATGCATAGATAACAACTTAATTGGTATTTTGATGGAATTTATGAGGTTGGAATATCAGGAAATGGTGTTAACAAGTATGTGCATCAAAATCACTCTTGGAACATTTAAGAACTATGGATGTCTGTCTCTCTGCTTCATTAGACACTTAAGCGGTAAGGTTGTGAGGAAGGTCGCTACCAACATGCAGATGGACTCTGTGCCAGTCAACCTTTATCTGACCCAAATGAAGTCTTCATTGTCTTTCATCCCATTTGCATGTGATACAACACTTGGAAGAATAGCTAACACTGCAATTGAAAGAAACAACTAAATAGGTCAAAACTAACGGGATGAAATTAAGTGGGATAAATATAAAACCCTGACTTAGATTTTTAAAATGTATAATAAGGAATATCTTGCTCAAGAATAGAGTATATATATTTAAAACCCAAATTGATATTTTGCTCCCAGAAATCTCTTTATGAACCAAGAAAAAGCTAAAAACTAAGGCAATCTTGTGCTATATTCAAATAATAGTGTCCAGGCTTTGAAAGGTAATGGTCCTACTTGAAATGATAGGATGTGTGGTAGAATAAAAGGAATCAAACATAGTTTCCTTTGGCAAAGATAAAAAATTCGAAGTGTATGTTAACTACCTTCAAATATATTAAGAACTGTCCTAAGAAATATTAGTCTTATTCTGTGTATCCCCAAAGGAAAGAACTAGGGTTAATGGTTAGAAGTTACATGTGTTCTAATTTCAGCTTAGTATAAAGACGTTTTTGATGATTAGTGACATTAAAAATTCAAATTAATTCAAACCAGTTCTATAAAGAGTTATTAAAAGATTCTGTCTTGCCCTGGCAGGTGTTGCTCAGTGGTTAGAGTGTTGGTTGCAGATTCGATTTCTGGTCAAGGGCATGTACCTGGGTTGCAGGTTTGATCCCCAGTCCTAGTTGGGGTGTGTGTGTAAGGTAACCAATCAATGTCTGTCTGTCTTTTTCTCTCCCTCCCCTCTCCCTTTCACTCTTTGTAAAAATCAATGGGAAAAAATATCCTCAAGTGAGTATTTAAAAAAAAAAGTTTTCTGTATTAGCAATTCAGTAATAAAGACCATAGGGATCCTACCCTCAGGGAGCATAAAGTCAAATAAAAAATGAAGAAAGGGATATAAATATATACAGATAAATAAAAGGCAATACATTTACCAAAGTGTAATATAAACAAGATTCTATTGGAGCCCAGAGGAGGCAGCTACTGGCTGTCTTTGACTGGTAGTGAGTTGGGTGTTATTGAAAATAATCAAATAGAAAAATTATAGAGGCAACCCCTGTTTTCCATGAGAAGTTAATCAAATGACTTCTACAGTTTCTTGAAGTACTTAGGTTTTGTGATTGTACTATAGAACATAGGTTAAAAAAAACATACTGTTTGAAATACATTTTCTGTTTAAATATATTTTTCAAAGATTTCTACTCCCCTAAATAAAAATTCTAAACAGTTCGTGTTTACAGCCGTAGCTGTTCTGCCACCACATCCTTCCCTGCGTCATATGGGGAGCTACCTGAAGATGGGTAACGAATTCCCAATACTGACCCCATACCTCACCCCGTTTCCCTACAAGCGCACTGGTTCTCGGAAGTTGATGATGCGACGCCAGTGTTCGGCCAGCACCTCGGACAGCGCCCGTCCTGGAAGCTGTGGGGCCTCCGCTGGGCTTTCAGGGATCCTGCCTCTTGGGACCCACAAAAAGGCTATGAAAATATTCCTTTTTCCTATGCGCGTTCTTACCCCGCTCTTCTCCAGCTGCCCTCAGTCTCCAGTGTTGAGGACTGTGATCTCAATTCTACTCCTGTTCAGAATTCTGGGAGCACACATGGCTGAGAAGTTGGAATTTCCCCAAAGCCTATTCCTCACAGTTTCAGCGGGCACAGCCTCTGGGTAGCCCTGGGGCAGGAGCTGTACAAGCCGGTTGAAAGGAGGAAAGTTGCCTCCTTTGGTAAAAGGCTGTGACATCTGGCTCTGTCCACCCTCTCTTAAAGGTTAGAGACAATGAGAAGCCAGGAATTAAAAGGGTGGAAATAGGGGGTAGGGAGAGGAATAAAGTTCGCCTCCCTCCAGAAGGACCAAGGAGCATCTCAGTCTTTCTGTGGGCTCGGGTCAGCGAGGATCTGATGACGGGGTCCCCTTACCTGAGGAAGGATTCTGTAGCAGGCAGAAGCAATAGACGGCCAAGATGAAAGGGAATTGGGGAAGATGCTTCATCTTTAAAATTCGATTGCTCTTTGCTGGCCACAGATGTGTGCTGCTAGGACAAGAGTTGAGCATTTCCTGAAGTTCCGCAGGTACAGGCAACGCTCTGCCCTGTGTCTGATAAGCCCCATAACGCCCCGGAGCCCATTGGCTGAGCACCAATCAGCCTTGCGCAGGAGGACCCCGGCTTTCTCATAAATGTCATGCTGGGCCTTATTTGTGGAATAATATCTTCCTGGTGTTGGCATTGTAGAAAGTCGTCTCTTTCAATTCAGCAATAAAAATAACAAGTAGAGAGTCATAGTTGTTATTCTATAGTGGTTTGAGAAACATTTCTGACTCCAGAAGGGCGTTGTCTCTTTTTTTAAATCAAAGAACTGGACATAAATCTACAAGCCCCTGCATGATCAAGTCTTGTTTCTGAAAAAGCTGTTTCTTTTCCATCATTAACAAAGGATGTTTTGTAGTCTTTGGTGCATTTGAGAAGAACAAATTTTGGAGTGCAGGATATAACATTACAAGAAACTCAAATGTTCAATTAGGGTTCTTTAAAAAAAAATCATTGTTGAAAATCAGATTCTTAAAGGTTTCTCCAGATTAGTTTACACAAGCACATTAAATATATTCAGTTAAATCAGTATCCAAGAAAACATGACAATGTTCAATAATAATAATAATATTCCGTCTACTAAGCTTTTATCTGTTTTAAACATTTCACATAGGTTATTTCATGAAATTCTCACAGAAAGCCCTTAAGGAATGTATTATTGTTCGAATTTTATAAATTGGGAAATCAGGGCTAGGAAAGATGAAGGAACTTGTACAAGGTCAGCAAGCCATCAAAGATGCAGATCAGGAATCTGGACACAAGGATGCAGTCATGTCTTTAAGAATGTGAGATTAATCAGAGAGATGCAAATTAAAACAACAATGAGGTATCACCTCACACCTGTCAGAATGGCCGCCATCAACAAATCATCAAACAACAGGTGTTGGCGAGGGTGTGGAGAAAAGGGGACTCTAGTACACTGCTGGTGGGAATGCAGACTGGTGCAGCCACTATGGAAAACAATATGGTGTTACCTCAGAAAACTAAAAATTGAACTTCCATTTGACCCAGTGATCCCACATCTAGGAATATACCCTAAGAAGCCTGAAACACCAGTCAGAAAAAAATATATGTACCCCCACGTTTGTAGAAGCACTATTTACAATAGCTAAGATCTGGAAACAGCCCAAGTGTCCATCAGTAGACGAATGGATAAAAAAGCTGTGGTACATATACACAATGGAGTATTACGCAACTGTAAGAAAGAAAGACCTCTTATCCTTTGAGACTACATGGAGGGACCTGGAAAGTATCATCCTAAGTGAAACAAGCCAAACAGAGAAAGACAAGTTTCATATGATCTCACTTATTTGTGGAATATAATGAACATAACAGTCTGAGGAAGGGGGTAGTCCCAGAGACACAGAAATGGGATACAGACTGACAATCCCCTAAATAGGGGGTGGGGGTGGGGAAGAGATAAACCACAGAACTTATATGCATGTATGCATGAACAGTGGACATGGACAGCAAACTAGGGAGAGGGCAGGGAGGGAGGGGAAGGGGGGAGTCAGTGGGGAAAAAAGATAAACATCTGTAACAAAAATTAATTAATAAAAAAATTTAAAACTTTAAAAAATAGAATGTGGGATTATAGTTAAAATATTTTGTGTGTGTGTGTGTGTGTGTGTGTGTTTCTAAAAAGAGTGCCTTTGAGACTGGATATGACATAGAAAGAAGAGGAAAAAATGAAGTCTGCTATTTTTACAAAAGCAGAAACATTCGCGGCATATATTAAATAAATATCTTTGGATTTTTTTCATCGTGCATATCTTTAAGTTTTTCTCTTTTAAGGACTAACAAGTGTTGAATGCTTACAATGTGCCTAAAACATGTTAATACTTTACTTGTCATATATAAGTTTTAAATGAATACATTTTTTAAGAATAATTTTTGGTAGGAGTTGTTCAACATAAACTGTTTATGACTTAAAATATGGCATTCTAGCCCCAAAGTTTCAAACTCATAACAGAGGTGAATTATGAACTACTTTATAGCCATAATATTGTGCCTACTTCTTTGAACCAGTGAGAAATAGAGATTTCCATTTATTATAGGATTTATCACTTTTGTTCAAGGAGAATAACCCAAGGTCTTTAAAATATACCCACTGCCTTGGCCGGCATTGCTCAGTGGTTAAAGCATCGGCTCATGCACCAGAGGGTCTCAGGTTCAATTCTTGTCAAGGGCACATACCTGGGTTGCAGGTTCAATCCCTGCTCTTGGTCAGGGCGTGTGCAGGAGGCAACCAATCGATATGTCTCTCTAACATTAATGTTTCTCTCTCTCTCCTCCTACCTCCTCCCTTCCACTCTCTCTAAGAATCAACAGAAAGAAGTATCCTTGGATGAGAATTTTTTAAATTAATTAATTAATTAATTAAAATATATACCTGCTGCCTAAAAACAAGACTTTACTGAATGAAAGAGGAAAATGAATAAATGCTTTTTTAAAAACATAAACCACTTATCTATATGGTATTAAACACAACTTCTTATGGACATTTTAGATGCACAACACACACAATAAAAAGTTTGTGGCAGTTCTACCAAGTGTCAATCAACAAGTACTTTTTGAACATATGGTGGTCTGTGTCTACCAGTGAACTAGGTGATCTATGCACAAACATACCTTTTTCAAATAAACCTCTGTGATAACTCTGATTTGTACCAAATTTATTTTGTTTTCTTTGCATATTTTGCCCACCTTATCTCTCATTTATTGAGAATAAAAAATTAAAATGTGCCCTGGCCGGTTTTCTCAGTGGTTAGAGCATCAGCCCGCGGACCGGAGAGTCCCGGGTTCGGTTCCCGCTAAGGGCACATACATATGTTGTGGTTTGTTCCTGGCCTGGGTTGGGGTCATGTGGGTGGCAGCCACTCAATGTGTCTCTCTCACATTGATGTTTCTCTCTCTCTTCCTCCCTCTGTTCCTCCTGCTCTATCTAAAGATAAATGCAAAAAAAAAAAAAAAAAAAAAATGTCCTCAGGTGAGGATAAAAAAAAAAATTAAAATGTTATTTTTATGCTACTTCAGAAATAGGTAAAAGGAAACAAACGAGAAAAAATATGCATTCAACAATCTTATTACAGATGGAATTGTACCCCCCCCCCCAACAAATCCATATGCTGAAACTCTGACCCCCATGAGACTGTATTTAGAGATGGGGCTTTTAAAGAAGTAAGGGTAAGTGAGGCACAATGATGGGACCCTTATCCCTTATGACTGGTGTCCTTATAAGAAAAGAAAGAGACCCAGAGCTTGCTGAGCCAAGCGTGCAGAAAGGAAGGCAGTGTCTGAGAGCTGAGGAGAGACTTCTCACCAGAAACTATCTTGCTGGCACTTTGATCTTCTGCTTCCAAACTCCAAACCACAAGAAAATAAATTTCTTTTGCTTACGCCACCCAGCCTGTGGTCTTTTGTTATGGCAGCTTAGGCAGACCAATACAAATACAGGGAACATTCTGCCGATTCAATAAAAAATATAAAACTCTGTGTTTCAAATGATATGGTTATCTAACCCCCAAAAGTCCAAAAGAGTCAACTGGCAAATTCAAATGCATAAGAGATTACCAAAATGGCCAGATTTAAAGAAAACTATTTTCAGGAATAATTTTCTCAGACAAGCAAAAGTGAATTAGAAAATGTAAATAACTTTAAAAACTGTAAAATACTGAGGACTAAACCAAATGGTAAATGTGCTCTATATTTTATTTTTTTTATTTATTTATTTTTTTATCCTCACCCAAGGACACTTTTCCATTTTTTGTACAGATAGAGTGGGAGGGAGAAGAAGAGAGAGAGAGAGAAACATCGACGTGAAAGGGACACATCAAGTGGCCGCCACCCGCACGACCAACCAGGGCCGGGGACAAACTGCAACCGAGGTACGTGCCCTTAGCGGAACCGAACCCGGGTCTCTCCAGACCGCAGGCCGATGCTCTAACCGCTGAGCCAAACCGGCCAGGGCTATATTTTAAAAGATGACTACAAAATTTTACTAACATAAAGGACATAAAGGGCATAAAGCAACATGCGAATAAATGAAAGAGCATGTCATGATCCTTGACAACAAGATTCAATGTTATTAAAAGTTCACCTGATGGCAAATTAACCTATATGGTCAGTGTAATCATTATTAAAATTCAAAGATTACTTTTCAGGGAATTTAAAAACTAATTTTGAAATTGATCTGGGAGAGAAAATATTCAAGAAATTTTTGAAGAAAAAAAAAAAGATTGATTTGTCAATGTCAAAATGTACTATAAAGCAGTAGTAATTTTTATATGGTGGTAGTCATTTTGTTATTGATCCAGTAACAGACATCAATGCAATGCAATAGCGTTTTGAAGTAGATCAGTTTTGTACAGAGTAAAGTATTGCAAATCAGTGCAAAAATCATGAACTACTTTATAAATGGTGTTTAGCATTATTGGTTACTCATTTGGCAAAACATTCTCTATTTCACACTATAAATTAGAATAAATTCCAGAGGATTAAAAAATTAAAGCTAACACACACACACACACACACACACACACACACACACACACTTACATAAACTGCTATATTAGAAAAATATAGAGTATATATATATTTACTTTATTGATTTTAGAGAGAGAAGAAAGGAGAGGAAGAAAAAGAAATGTTGATGAGAGAGAACATCGATTGGCTGCCTCCTGCATGCCCCCCACTGGGGATTTGGCCCACAACCTGAGCATGTGCCCTGGCCAGGAATTGAACCGGCGACCTCTTGGTGCATGGGTCGATGCTCAACCACTGAGCCACACCGGCCAGGCTAGAGTATATCCTTGATTAGGAAGTTGCTCTTGAGCAAAATTCAAAATAGGGAAGCCATTAAGGAAAAGATTGATAAGTGGATTATATTTTGAAAATATCTGTATAAGCCTTGACCAGCATGGATCATCAGTTGATAGAGTGTTGTCCTGTACACCAAAAGGTTGAAGGTTTGATTCCTGGTCAGGGCACATACCTAGGTTTCAGGTTCAATTCCCGGTCCCAGGTCAGGGCATGTACGGGAA